ATTTGTCTCTAACTAGGACCCCACGGGGAGAAATGGGAAGTGTGAGAACCTGCAGCTCACCAGGCCCCCGCCTCAGACACGGTCCTTGTTTTCATGGGGGGATTGGGCTGGGAGCTCTTGGTCGCTGCTCATATAAGCCCACATGTCCCCTGACTGCTCAGGGTCTCCATGTGGTCAGTGGGGCCCGCTGAGGAGTGTGGCCAATAACTCAGGAGTCCTAGTGTAGAGCTTTGAAGGGGTGAGCTGGTCCAGCTGGAGAACTGATTGTGTAGTGGGGGGTGGGGGACAGCTAGTCCTTTATTCAATTAGAATTCCTGATTCAGGCCAAGTTGAGAGTTGGTTTTTTTTTTCTTTTCTTTTCTTTCTTTCTTCCTTTCCTTTTTTTAAGATTTTGTTTATTTATTTATTTGAAAGAGAGAGCGAGAGCGAGCACATGCAAGCAGGGAGGAGGGGCAGAGGGAGAGGGAGAAAGAGAATCCCAGGCAGACTCTGTGCTGAGTGTGGAGCCTGATGCAGGGCTTGATCTCATGACCCTGAGATCATGACCTGAGCTGAAATCAAGAGTTGGACGCTCAACCAATTGAGCCACCCAGGCACCCCGAAGCTGACAGTAGGTTTAATCCTCTTGGAAAAGCCCTCAGAGTAAAGGCCTGGCTGCTTGGGGCAGAGCAGGCAACCGGCATTTTGGGGGTTCGGGGTGGACTTCTGTATTTCTTTGTTCAGTTTCTTTGATAGAGTCCACATCATCCCGTGAGCTTGGCGCTCAGTCTGTTGAGCTGTGTCTGTCTGCTCCCCATCCCTACAGACTACCTGATCAACGTGATGGATGCCCTGGGCCTGCAGCCATCCCGCACCCTTCAGAACATCGTGACACTCTTGAAGACCAAACCTGAGGACTACAGGCAGGTCAGCAAAGGCCTGCCCCGGCGCCTGGCCACCACAGTGGCTAACATGCGGAATGTGGACTACTGACCATCTCCCCCTGGTTGAGAAGAGGCCCAGGGCCAGGGTTCAGGGGTCACAGCAGCTCTGCAGAATAGATTTGCTCAAAAATTCTGCCTGGGATTGGGAGGATTCATTTCCAAAAGACTTGGTTCATTTGTATAATCAAAAAAAGGGTGGGGGGGTTATAAATTAGAGGCATATTATTTATTAGAGCAGACTTTTCAGATGATTTTCTAAATGATCCCATCTTGAAAATGGAATTGATAAATACCGTGAAATGAAATAAGGCTGTTTTCTTTCCTTTGCTCAGTGAATATTTGGGTGCCTCCCTGAGCTGTGCTCCATGCACTGGGACACGGGCCGGGAAGGAGGGGGAAAATCACCAGAGAAACCAACAAAGAAGATGATGTCGGATAGTGGCATCAGGGTGGAGGGCAGCCCCTGGACCCACAGATCAGAGCCGTGCATGGCAGTGAGGGACCAGCGCGGACCAGGCCCTGGGGCATGTCCAAGGTCAGCAGCATGGAAGTAGGAAATCAGGTCAGACGGGAGCTGGGGCCCAGATCATGGACCAGCCTGTCGGCTGTGATGAGGACTCAGGCTTTTATTTTGTCTTATTTGAAAACTCACGGGGTAATGTGGACTCTATCAGGTTTTTTGCCAGTAGCTTCTCTATCTCTTAAGATGAACAGAATAATGTAATTTGAGTGACTCAAGCAAACATAGGAGTTGAGCTTTCTCAAGATCGAGAAGTCCCACGGTCCTGGCTGTGGGCACTGACTCAGTGGCAGAAGGAGTTGGGACCAGGACCAGCCTCCCCGGGATCTTGACCTTTCCTGTGTGTGCCGGCTGCTTCCTCCCGGTGGGGCGACTCTTGCAGCTGCAGGCATCACACGGTGTTCGGGGGGACAAAGGCAGAGGGGGCACTGTCCCTTCCGCCCTGCAGGCAAAGGGCTCCCCAGGGGCCCCCGTGGCTTTCTCCTCGGTCTCCCGGGCCAGTTCTTGGTCGCCGGCATCCTCCCAGCTGCAAGCGAGGCTGGGAGTGTGGGGGACAGGACCGCCTTCATTTGGGGTTCTCAGCCTCCGCACTCCTGTCGCTTTTGGCAGCCTGGTCGATGGGCATTCAGCGGTATCCCTGACCTCTGTCCACTGGGTGCCGGCGGCACTCCCCAGCTGGGACAGCAGAAAGGTCTCCAGACCTTGCCCGGGGCCCAGACTCCCCTCCAGCATGGAAACCCTGGTGTAGACCAGGCAGGATTTATTGCCTGGGCCCGGAGCACTGGTGCCGTGAGCAGGCTGGGTTTCTGTTAGCAAGGGAGAAGGAGGGCACCACCGTGTCTGTCGGGGTCCTTTATTGGAATTGATGTGTCGTGTGTTCCCGCTGCTGCGTAAGCCTTACTTCTCTCTCTGATGCCTTTCAGCGGCCTCAGGGATTATCCCCATCTTACACACAAAGGAACTGAGGTGTGGGAGGTTTAGGGGCTTGCCTGGAGTCACTGGTACCCGTGGTGCCCACGCTCCTGACCGCGGGGCGCGAGGTGAGTGCACAACACCTAATCCCGCCCGGGAGAGCCGGCTCGTGCTGGCCCTCCAGAGTGGCACTGCTGCGCCCATGGCTTCTCGGGAACCAGCCCCTGCAGGCTGCTGGGGCCGGTGTCGTGCTGGCCTTGTCATCCAGGGGTTCCCACACGTTCTGTCCCCACATCCTTGGAACCAGTTTTGCTGGCCCCGAAAGAACCCGCACCAAGGAAAATATTTTGGTTTCTCATGCGGTGGATCACGGACTGTCCCTGGCAGGGATCGAGCCTGGCTTCTGCCTTGAAGAAGTAAGAGCCGGAAACCTGGAAGGCGGAATGTGTTGTGGAAAGTGGAAATCTCTTTGGGGTGACCTTTGTGCCGGTGTCCAGGAGAGCTGTTTGATTCCTGGCTTCGCCACCTCCTGACTGTGTGACCTTGGGGAAGTCGCTTCACCTCTCTGAGCCTCATTTCCTCTTGTGAAAGACAGGAGCCATAGTGGAACCTAATCAGGGTTATTTGAAGAGCCAGTGAGGTACAGAGGGGGTAACAAGTGCCGCCTTCCCACTCCTGCTTCAGATGCCTCTCCCAGTTCAGGATGAATATGTGGCCCGGGCTGATTCAGTGACCCTCATTCTCGGGGCTTTTGCTGGGACACTGTGAAGGAAGAGCTTTCTTCCCACTCTATAGTTGCTGGGCTGAGGGAATGGAGCTTGGAGCTATGGGGTGAAGAGCAGTACACGGAGGGGACCCGTTTGAGAGGGACATCAATATAGAAGAAAAGAAAGCCCGGACCTGGGGAAATCACCAGATCTATGAACCCCTGGATACAGCCATACCTGAAATCCCTGGACTTTTATTACAAGAACCAATGGATTCCCTTTTTTTAGCTTAAGTCAGCTCGAATTAGTGTGACCAAAGAGCTGGCAAAGGGAGCTCACTAATAACCATTGCTGTGCCTGCCCCACAGCTTCAGATGAGACCATAAATGTGAAAGCTCTGGGCTCCTATACGGGACTGGTATTCTTGTGACCACCGGCAGCCAGGGGATGAGGCTGGACCTTCGTCACTTACTGGAAGAGTGATCTGGAGCATCTGACTTCACCTGAGTCTCAATTTACTTACCCTTAAGATGGGATGGTAATACTTCTCGGTAATTCTGAGAATTGGAAAAAGACTTGCAAAGCACTTGGTCTGGTAAGTGTGTGGTAAGTGTTTGATACAATGTAGCCATTGTTCGATGATAACAACAACTAATAATAGTGTGATGACAACTATCACTAATAATGAAAGTAGTAGTCATGGGAGTTGGTGCGGTAACCACCAAGAACTGGACTCCAGCCTGCAGACCCGCCTGGCCCCGAGCTGGGAAACCCTCTTCCCCCAGGCCCTCCCCACACAGTCCCTCCCAGTGCTGCCTTTGGCTGGAGTGGCACCAAGTCTGTGGCACCACCTTCCCCCACAGGTGCCACTGTGGGCACTTAATGGGAGGCCTGCTTGTTTGCCTTTCCAGCCAAGGGCCCAGGTGTTCTCCACCAGCAGGGCTGGGCCCTCAGACGTCCAGGCTCTATAGCCAGAGCCGCTTCGCGACCGGGGAAGGCAGATGGTCAGCTCCCTGCACCTGGCAGGCCCCATTCTTCTTGGGAAACAGCTTCCTGGTCTCTCTTTGGAGAGCCGTCAGGGTTCCCATACTTAGCAACTAAAAATACAGGACACTCAGTTAAATTTGAATTTCAGAAAAACAACAGATGATTTTATTAACATCCTATGTCCCGGATACCCCTTAATTTTAAAAACATTTTAGTTTAGGGAGGGAGCGCACATGCATGCACGGGTCGGGGAGGGACAGAGGGAGAAGGAGAGAGAATCTGAAGCAGCCTCCACACTGAGCGAGGAGCCCCATACGGGGCTCAGTCTCATGACGCTGAGATCATGACCTGAGCCGAAATCAAGAGTTGGTCGCTTAACCTACTGAGCCACCCAGACACCCCTGTCCCAAATATTATGCAGATGTACTGATACTAAAAAATCAATTCGTTGTTTATCTGAAATTCATATTTAACTTGAGGACCTGTATTTTTTCTGGCAATGCTTGGAGCCATGTCCCTATCCCCTGGGGCCATGTGATTCTGCTGGGGGCCACCTGGCCTCAGGTATGGGCAGGGTCTGACCAATCCAAGCAGCCTATCACACTGATTGGTTCAGAGATATGCATGTGACCCAGTCAGTGACCAATGAGAGTCAGCCTGGGAACTTGCAGAGACAACTGGGGAAGAGGTACTTCCTCCTAGCTGTTTGCTGAGCTGGAGACACGGTGAGTTTGGACTCGCAGGCGGGCTTTCAATGTGAGGAGAGCCCGAGGAAAGCAGAGACCGAGAGACACTGAGCTGCTTGAGATTCTTTCACTTAAGCCAGCTTGAGTCTATTTCTCTCTGTCCTTGCAACCCAAAGTAGTACGGTGAATGGCACTGAATAAGTCACAAGCCCACTTGTGCACCAGGGCACTCCGACTGCCCCGTCCGACAAAGAACAAAGCTCAGCTCTGTGTGTTCTACTTTTATTTTCTAGAACTTTTATTTTCTAGGACCTGGCAGCAGGTCCCCCAACCCCGCCCCTGGGCCTGATGCTCTTCCTGCTCTCCACAGTTGCTGCCTTCACTAAACCCATTGGCAGAGGCCTGCCAAGGCCAGGATGGAAAGGTTCTGAGGACAGACAGCACAGCATGCCTGGCTCTTTGTCTCGAGAGCAGACGGTGACTGGCACTGGGAAAAACTAGCCTGTTTGTGGGGCACAGTGTTCCAGGCTTTCCGGAGCCAAGCTGGGGATGTCCCAGCCAAGGATCAGGTCAGGTTGGGGGTGTGGGCAGGAACCAAATGAGTACACTTTACCCACATCCATACCGGCACCGTGACCCTACAGAGCCCTTGGCCTGGGACTGGCCAGGAGCTGCTGGTCTCTCTGGAGAGGGATACACATAGACTGTGGCCTCGGATTCCCATCATCCTGGCCCTTTGGAGATTGCACCCCGAAGTGAAGCCCGAGGCCATGAATCCGGCTTCTTGGGTCTGAGTTCTGGGCTCCCCAGGTCTAGATGGCATCGCCCTCACTGTCAGACTCGATGACGTCCAGCGGCTGCAGACGGAGGGAGTCATAGTTGGGAGGTGGGGTGCCCGGGATGGGCAGGGTCTGCTCATCAGGGTAGGTCCCGGGGTCGGGGCCAGGCCTGGCCACATCAGGCTGGAAGCCAAAGTTGGTGTGAGCCTCCACCAGCTCAGCCACGGTGGGCGGCGGGCCCGCATAGCGAGCCTGGGCCCGCCTCTGCCGCAGGCTCTTGGCGAAGGCCACCAGCTTGATGACAGTGATCCACACAAAGTCGATGAGGATCTCTCCGAATTCGATGAGGCACAGCACCGAGCCCCCCATCCAGAAGCCAAACTGGCCGCCCAGGTTTGAGAGCAGCCAAACAATCTGCGGAGAGTAGAGGGTGGACGGCCTGGTGGGGGTGTGGGTTGGGCCACAGATTTCTGCCTTGAGCCCTGCCTCACGGCTTCCCGGGAGGGGGGCTGTTGGCCAGGAAGGGGAACAGGGTGACCATCTCAACCCAGGGAAACCATTCTAATTCCCCTGTTGGGCTCGGGGCCCTCCCCACCCTCAGTGTGCAGGGTGGAGGGGCAGCAGGGCAGGGTTGAGAGTTGGGAGCACCCAGACTCACGTTATTGGCTGCTGACTCCTCAATGGTGCGATAGTTGAATTCTTGGAAGTAGATGTTGAGCTTGACAACTCCCTTCCTGTAGAAGCAGCAAGAAGGGCTGGTGCCCCCTCCCCGGGACACGCTTGTGCGTGCATGCGCATGCACACACACACACACACACAAAAGGCAGCCAAGGGGCAGTCCTCTGCCTTGAGCTTCTCATATGTTTACTCCCAGGAGGGGTGAGGTCCAAGCAAGAGCCCAAAGTGCGGCCCTTCCTGTCCCCTCTGGGCCTTGGGGCCACGAAAAGCATCTCTGCCTAGCATCCTTCCGGGGGGCCCCAAAGACTGCCTCTGAGCTCCCGTCTCCCACCCCCCAGAGGGGCCCAGCCCATACACAGTAGGCTCTGGATAGAGTCCTAATTCTTGCTTCTTTATCAGGGGACCTGGGGCACAGAGAGTTGGCCATGTCGGTTTCCCCTTTGCACCCGATAGTCCTCAGAAAAGTTATGCTCTCTCACACCTCCAGTCTTCTGCCTGAACATCTTTGCCTCTTATTTAAACAGTTCCTGCTCCTCCTTGGAGAGTTAGCTCAAGCGTCAGCTCCCTCTACAGACCTCCCTTATCTCTCAGGCAGATAGCTTCTTCTCTGCTGTGCTCCCAAAGGAAGGGTCTTATAGAGACTCTCAACACCATAAGCCCTGTTGGCATATTTTTGTCCTCTAGACTGGAGCTTCCCAAGAATATGGACCTGTGTCTTTCCTGTGCTCAATTCGTGTTTGTGTTTTTGATGGGTGGAAAGATGGAGAAATGGGTAGAGGATAAGTGGATGGATGGATGAGTTTAAGGATGGATGAGTGGATGATGGGGGGATGAATGGCTGGATGGGTGAATGGATACAGATGAATGGGAGGAAAATTAGAGGGCTGAAGGATGGATGGATGGATGGATAGACAAGCAAATGGATAGATGGATGGGTGGAAGGATGGATGAATAATGGAGGAACGAATGGGTGGATGGGTGGGTGGGTGGGTGAACAGGTGACATATGGAAGAACAGGCTCTCCTTTGGGAAGTGGTTGACCCTGAATTCCATTCACTGGCTTCTCTCTCATTCCCAGTACCTCATCCTTCAGGCCTCCTCCTGGATCTGACCAGTGTGAGAAGGTGTCTGAGGAGCTGCCCTATATCCAAACCCCTCCCTGGAGGCTCTGGTTCCTCCCATTTTGCGCATTCCCCAACCCCACCCAGACTCTAGGCTCACCTGCTCAAAGTGATATTGGTGCTTTGGTCCCGCTCCTGAGACAGGACGTGGAAAATCCAATCCTGGAATCCAAGAAGGCAGCTGAAAAAAAATGGCACCTCCAGCACCCCCTCCCAATCATGGGCCCTACTACGGGTCGGGGACACAGCCCCAAAGCTTCCCCAAGGCCGGGGGACCGTGTGTTGGCACAGAGAGGAGGAAGGTAATGGTGCCCCCTGGCTGCTGCTGTTGGGAGAAGGCCCTCTGGGCTCCAGACGCTTCCCCCAGAGGCCCAGCCATCCTGCGCCGCGTCTTTCCCACCTCTGGCCCTTGCAGGTGCTGTCCCTCTGCCCGGGTGGTCCTCCCCAGCCCTGCCCAGGCTGGCTCAGCTCCTGCTGCTTTCACTCACATATCACCTTTGCAGGGAGGTCTTCCCTGACCGCTCTGTCTAAAGGGATTTCCCCTGGTTACTCTGCGCTCATCCTATCTACTTTCTGCCATTATCACACTTTGAAATGATCTAATTTCCGCATGTTGCCTGTCTCCCCCACTAGAATGTAAGCTCCCTAAGAGCAAAGGGCTGTGCCTCTCCTTCATTGCTGTGTCCCCAGCACAGCGCCTTGGGAGACACGGCTGGGGGGACAGACAGCCTGCAGACCTGTGCCCAGAGCTGTCCCCCAGCCCAAAGGTGGGCGGCCAGGAGCTTGGCCACTCCACCACCTCACCTCAGACGCCTCAGAAGGCCAGTCGGCCATGGAGATGGTCATCTTGTACTGGGTGTCACTGGAAGAGAGAAGGCAGCTCTGTGGCTGTCGCTGTCCTTGCCAGCACTGCTCCCCACCCCTGCCCCCCAGTCTCCATGCCCCCCACTCACTTGCAGGACTCCTTGCACATGTTGATGCAGGTTTCCCTCTGGGCCACACTCATGCGCAGGTGTGAGTAACAATAGGCTGAGCAAGACGGGTGGGGGGGAGGGGGGAGACTTAAGGGAGGGGGTTTCTAGATGTTTTCCTCTCCCGCTTTGAGCCTCCAGCTGCCGCCTGCCCTCCTGACCATGGCCACCCAAGGCCGGTGGTTCGGTGGGAGGGGGAGCTGTCTCTGCCCAAGCTCTCCTGCCATGGAGGGTCATCCCTTCCCCCCCTGCACCCCCCATGTCCAGCCATTTTGCCCCAGCCTGGCCTGGGGGACCCTCTCCCCAAACAGCCCAGACTCAGCTCAGCAGGATGAGAGCAGCTTTCCCTCTGTCATCCCCACTCAGGGCTGGGGGGGCAGGGTGATGGGGTCATGCATGAAGGGATGGGTGGTCCAAAGGGATGGTTCCCCCCTCTTGGCTACATATTTCATTGGTTTTATGAGGTGGTGGGACTCTCCCTGCCTCCGACAACATCCATCATGTTTGGATGCCAGGGTTCCTACTTCTGTGGCTTTGGGCCTCAGACTCTTGGAGGCCACCTCAGTCTCCCTTCCCACCCAGCACCCCATGGAGAGACCCAGTGAGCTCACACACATGGACATGCATGCTGAGGCTCATACGTGTGGCATTGTGGGCACACGTGCGCACACACTGTGTGGGCACATGAACCAGCGTGCACAGATGCAAACACTGGAAGCCATCCACGCCCATGTATGAACACACGTGCAGACCTGGTCCCGAGTTCTCCTGTGCATTAAGAAACAAGCATACAAATACCCTCTCCTGTGTGCACACACATACGTGCCCTCGCCAGCCGCTGCACGCCAAGCTCATGTGTGTGCAGGTGTTTACGGGGCACACATACACAGGCGGGAGGGGGGCTGGGGCGGAGGGGGGCTGCAGGCCGTGGAGGCGCAGGCCTGGCCCCACCCCCCGCCCTGCTGAGGACGTGGAGCTCTGCCCCCACCCCCCCACCCCCGTCTTTGCGGTCAGAGCCCCAGCCGGCCCGGGGCCCCAGTGCCCGGGGCTCCGCACTCACCCCAGTCTGGGAACTCGCGGTTGTTGCAGTATCTCTCCCCGTGGGGCAGTGGGTACAGGAAGTGGGCACAGCTGCAATTCTGGATCATGTGCTCTTGGAAGCAGGAGCGAATACAGGCCTGCAGTGGGAGGGCGGGAGAATATGGCCATGACTGCGAAGCCCCCCCCCCCCCGTCCCAGCCCCGGGGGGTAGGGGCCCCGGGGGAGGTAATGCCGAGGCCTGGGGAGCCAGGGGAGGGGTCTCCCCGGCTGAGGAGCTGCACCTCCTGGCCCCCGCAGCCAGGGCGTGGCTGTCCTGCTCAGTGCCTGGTCCCCGCGGAGGGACTCGGGCCAGACCCAGCTCTCTGAGGACCCCACCTTGCAGAGCCGGAGCCCCATACAGGACATGGGGAGGGGTGGCTTGGTCCCAATACCGTAGCCAACCTCTGATAGGTCTCATTAATGGGGCTGCCAGCCTTGATGGGGCAGTGTCCCCTCATGGGGACAGGGGGAGGAAGAGTGGATTTGGCGCCTTGGAGTCTGCGTGGGATGACTCTCGTGCTGGGGTTTCAGGTCACCCCAACCTGGTTCCAGCGCACTCGGAGGCCAATTGCGGTCACTCACAGGTGGAGCAGGGTGACGGTCGCCCCTGTGGGCTAAAGTCAGGAGGGCCTGGCACCGCATGGGGAGTGGAAGCGGCTGGTACTCCTGTGTCTCCGCTTGTCCCAGCTTCCCGAGTCCGGCGTGTGGAGGAGCCCTCGCTCCAACCTTTGCTATCCCCTGCTCTGGGCTCTGCCCCGCCGGCCACGGAGCCAACCCGCTCCGTCCCAGCTACTCCCACTCCCAGCGCTGCTCCTTTGCAGCCTGGCAGGCCCTGTCCTGTTCTCCCTGACAGGGCTGTGGCCTCCCTGCGGGCCCAGCCGGGAGGAACAGAGTGGGGGTGAGGGGGCCAGCGGGGTCGGACGAGGAGCTCTGACTTTGGGCCGGGATCTCGCGTTCTTCCAGGCCTCACTGTCTCACCTGGGAAGGAGGAGTCCTCTCTAGGCCCCACAACAGAGGCTGGGGGTTGGGGGGATGCAAGCAGAGCACCCGACCAGGGCCTGGGTCTTTGCCAAGGTCTCTGGCCAGAGGGGCGGCTGCACCGGACAAAGCAAGAGCTGAGCTTTTTCTGGAATGAGGTCTCTAAGGCTGAGCCTGATGGATGCCTCTGTGGCCTCCCTCTCCATGCTCCCCACCTCCCTGTGCTGCCTGGCTGTCTATCCCTTCATTAGCTTGGAAGCTTCCCCCAAGTTCCCCACTGCAGGCAGAAGCCCCTCCAGATAGAAGGCGGCCAAACCAGCCGGGTCAGGGTGTGGGGCGCACAGGTCAGCTGGACGGGGTGGGCAGGAGAGTGGGCGGGGGGCGGTGGGATTTCCAGGCAAAAGGGAAGCCCACACCATGCTCAGGGCTAACAGGCACAGAAGCAGGCCCTAGACTGCCCCCCCGTCATGCCTCAGCTTCCTTATCTGCCAAGGCCGCCCGGGCTGGGGAAGTAGTGTCAGCCAGGGGTCACGTTCGTCACCTGTGCGGAGGCTTTAGACGGTTTTCTCCACGGGGCTGGGTCTCGGGACAGGCCCCCCGGGCTGCCTCTGGAGGTCACGGTGAGAGGGAAGCCCCAGCTGCAGCAAGGGGGATTGAGGCCGGATACAAAGAGGGACTTCTCAGCTAAGTCGATGAGCCCTTTGTACTGGGGCCTGTACACCCCGATTTCCTCCTTCCTAGTAATACTAGCTACATCTTAGCATCGCTGTGAGGATTAAATGAATCACTGTATGTAAAGCACCTGCAACAGGGCCTGCCTAGCACATGATGAGCCTGCTCCTCTCCGTATATCAGTACTTATAACAAGTAAACCATATATATATACATATATATATAATAAATGCTATTGTTAGTATATTAATAAATGCTACTACCACCCCGTGGGGTGTACACAGGATCACAGGATGATGTAACACAGGCGAGCCCTTAGCACAGCATCTCTCCCACATAAGCGTTCTTTTTGGGAGACCCCAGAGTGAGATCCGTGTGTTTTGGGCATCCCCATGGGCACAGCTGCCGAGTGGGGATGAGCAGTGGCCGGTCCCGGGCCCTGGTGGGCACCCAGGGACGGGACTGGCTCTCCAGCCCCAAAGGCCACAAAACCCACCAAACCACCCTGCGGTCACCCACAAAAATCCAGTACAGCCCGTCCTGCCAGGACCAGCTCCCCCACAGCCCTGAGGCCTCGGGTCTGGTAGATGCAGACTGCCAGGGTCCCCGGGGCCCGCACTGTCTTCCCACCTGGATAGAGTAGGTCGTGTTGTAGTCGCTGTAGAGGTTCCGTACAGGGACGTCAGAGCCGTTCATGGTGCACTGGCTGTAGGGCTCCCCCTTGCGCTCCAGCTTGTCCTGTTTCCGGAGAGGTTGCTCCGTGTGTACCTCCCTCCCAGCAAGCATCACGGGAGTCGGTGGGGATGCCATGGGCCCCAGTAGGTGCCAGAGCGTGCCCACCTTCTGCCAGAGCATGCTGGCCCTGGTCGGGGTTCCAGCCCGAAGACAAGGTGGGAATGGGCCGCGAGGGAAGCTTCCACCCTCAGCCCCCCTCAGGCTGCCCTTGGGCTGTGGCCATACCACCAGCACCCCGATGGATGTCTCTGTCCCTGACATGGCGTAGATGCCCTCGTCTTTGATGAAGGGGTAGGACCTCTGCCCATGAAGCAGCAGGCGGGCACCGGCCGTGGACGTGAGGAAGGGCACGTAGTCCTCCTGGCCTATGTCCAGGATCAGCTTCAGGCCTGTGGGAAGGTGGGGCCGAGGGCTGCCTGAATTCGCTCCCCCTCACATCCACCTGTCCAGGCCCCCTCCCCACCCAGCCAAGGAGACCTCTAGGGCCCACGCAGGAAGCTGGCTGCCCCTCGAGAAAATTGAGACTTCTTGCCTTCTCCAAGGCCCCCTTCCTAGCCCAAGCCACCCTGTCTCTCCCTCCCCACCCAGCCCCACAAGCTCTATCCACGTGGCAGGTAGATCCAGGGGTGCAGGACTGCCCTGGCCCACCTCAAATCTTATGAGTCCTCGTTCTCATCATTCAATCCCTGCTGGCTTCCATGTTCCTTGCTGTTGCTGGGCCTTCGCAAATGCTATTCCCTCAAGAATGCTGTTCGCTTTCTCTGGGATCATGTCCCCGCCCCCTTTACCCTTCACCTAGAACCTCCTGCTCTTCCTTTGGATCTCAGCCCGAGTGTCACTTCCTCCGGAAGCCTTCCCTGACTACCAAGAGTAGGTCTCCTAGCTCTGGAAATACTCCTCCCAAGTATGTACCTCACTTATACGAATCTTTTATTGTCTGTCTTCCTTCCCCCGCCCCCCCCGGATCGTTCCCTTCTTGAAGGCAGGGACTTAGGCACCACCATAGGGCTGTGCTAAGTGGCTAGGACAACAGGCTACCATTCATCGAGCACCTGCTACGTGCTGAGTGCTGGGCCAAGTGCTTTATTATACACGAACTCACTGGTGCTCACAAGAGCAAAGGTATTATTATAATCCCCATTTTACAGGTGAGCAAACTGAGGCACAGAGAAGGGAAAGGACTTGTCCAGGGTCACCTGCAAAGAAGGGGGCATTGTTGGGGTTCTAACACAGGCAGCTGAGCTCCTTAGTCCTAACCATCTGCCCCTGTGAAGCGAGGTGAGGTGACTGGCGCCTCTGTGATACACAGTGACCTCAGGGGCACAGGGGCTGGGTGATGGGTGGTCAGCATCCCCTCTGCGCCCTTCTTGACCAACAGCCCTGAGACTTAGAATGACAGCCTGCCTCCCAGAGGCTGGGGAGGCCAGGAGCTGTGGGGTAGGGGAGGGAGGATCGCCAAAGCCAACCTGAGGCCACCATGAGTCTTCCCCAGAGACGGGCCAACACAGTGGCTTCTCTCATCGACCGCTTCTCGCTTCTGTTTACTCCACCCCCTCTCTGTCTCGTTCAAGAACCGCACCGCAGTGAGGCTCAGTAAAAGTACGGGCTCTGCTGCAGGTCAGATGGGTGCTCTTGGGCAAGTTCTTTAAGCCTCCAAAGAATATTCAGCATATACTGAGCACGTAGGACTTGCCAGCCACTGTGCTACGCGGGTGACGGCCTCATGTCATGATGATACCGTGAGGTGCACACAATAGGCTCTCCTAGGCTATCATATACTGTTTTTGAATGGGGAAACCATGGCTTCCAGAAGTTCAGTCTTGAGCTCAGGCTCACCCGGGGGGGTCAGTGGTGGAGCTGGGGTTTCCCCCCGGGCCCAGGAGCTGGGACTCAGCAGCAAAATGGGAGCACTGGTCCCTAGCCCAGGCGTTTATGGGAGCTCTGGGAGGATCATAAAGGAGATTTTCAATTTCTAGCATTCGTGGGCCCTGCTCAGAGAAGCTATAGTTTAACATTTACCAAGGTCAAAATGACTCCATCAAAACCTCAGAGGCTCTATTTCCACCCTGAGCAGTACACATCGTACATCTCCTTTGTTGAAACAAATAATCAAAAAGGAGCATTCCAAACATAAGGAAAAAAAAAAAAACCCAAACACTGGTTCCCATAAAATCAAAGTCATACAGCCTTGAACACACTAACAGCATAAGATAAAGTCTGTAACTTTCTGGAATGGCCTTGGTCATGATGGTTTATAACCCTTTATGTAAAAACCATATATAATCCTGCTCCAAACATTCCTTTCCCAGAGCGCTCTCTTCCTTGTGAAGACTATGTATCCCCAGCAGCTCTCCTAACTTGGGCTCCAATAAAACTCTTCCTTTCTTTTTAAAAATTTAAAAGGGGTTGTTCATTTTGCAGGGACAACGGAACGGCTCCCCGCACACAGAAGAGGCCCAACTGTGGCCGCCCCTCCGTGGGCCACCTCCTGTCTAATTCCGGCCCTCCCCCTTGACAGCTCATGGTCACTGGGTCTTCTAGCCCCACGACTCCAGCCCCAGGATGAACCAAGGCTTACCAAACTCAGCTCCGGGGTTGGCCGAAGGGAGTGCCTTCTCTGTCATGCCCCAGTTGAAGATGTAGCAGTTGCCATAATCCGGGTGGAAGATGGATGTAAAGTTCCTAAAAGAAACACCATCAGCCAAAGAGCAGGGCCCACCCCAGCCAGTGCCTCCCTGACCGTCTGCTGTCCAGGACACATAGTGGAGGGGAGCCCCAGAATCCAGCCACGTGTGCTGGCTAAGCCGGGAACTCAGAGAGGGAAGTGGCTGACATGGTGGGTCGGAGAGGGGATGAATCAGGAGAGGGCCCCCCAGAGGCCGAGGAAGGACACAGCTTTATAAGGAGGAGTGTGGGACCCTATACAGGGTCCTCTCTTATGTCCTGGAAATGTTTCCTAAGGAAATAAGTCAACTACCGCAAGAAACATTTCCCTAAAGATGCTCACAGCAGTAGCAATGGTATTCTTTAGTTTCAAAGAATTCAGTTAAAAAAAGACTTTTTTTGGATATGGAACATTTCAAACACAAAAAAAGTCAAGACAGTGAAGTCCACCACCAGCTTCAAGAATCATCACGGCGGGGCCACTAATGTGCTTCATCTCTACCCGCCCCGCCCCATCTCCCTTCCATATTATTCTCAAGCAAATCTCAGACGTCATGATTTTGTCTGTAAACATTTCCAGATGTATCTTGAAAAGTAAGAACTCTTTTAAAAATACTGCTATTACCATGTTAAACATAACTAACAAAAATTCCTTAATATTGTTAATATTCAGTCCAAAGCTCTAACCGTCTCCTACATGTCGATTTTTGTTTTTACAATTTATTTGTTTAAATCGGGATCCAAATGAGGTTAACATGCAATTGGTTGATAGGTCTTTCAAGTTTCTTCTAATCTATGGCTCCCTCCATTTGACTTTTTTTTTTTTTCTTATCATATAGCTGTTAAAACAGTTCTGGTTTGACCCAGCTAATCCTTGGAGAGGCAGTGAATGGATCAACATTTTTGCACCCCAGACGAATTAATGGCTTTGGGCAACACCCACTGGTGGTGGCCAGTGCTTCTCTCCTGATGGAAGAGCACAGGCTTTCCGAGGAGGTGGCCTTGCTAATAAAACATAAAAATCCTCCCCGAACAGGACCGAGCATCTGTCTCTAACCACCATTCACAGGAAATACTGGAGATAGACGAACAGGTTCAAAGACACCAAAGAAAAGTCAACCTGCAAAATCCAGACCTTGGGGACTGCAACAGGATAAACACCCCAGTTCCTTCCACAAACACCTTGTGAGAGGGGAAAGGGGAGACAACCTACAGATGAACAGAAACTTTAAAGACTTGGATCGCAATCACCACGTGCTGCCTTTAATTGGATGCTGATTCACATATGCAAACAAGCAAAAAGGTAGGACATTTATGAGCATGGACACGACTGGACAGTTGATGGTATTGAAGAATTATTGTCAATTTTTTTTTCAGGTGGGATAATAGCATTGTGGTTTGGTTTAAAAAAAAAAAAAAGCCTTTCTCTCTTGCAGATACATTCTGAGCTTTTTATGGGTGAAAGACCCTGGAGTCTGGGCTTTGCTGCAGAATGGATGGGAGGGGAAGAGTCATGGCTGTGGGATCAGGAGGACGTGTCCACGTGAGGTCATCGTGCTCTTTTCTGTCTATAAGTGTGTCCTCGGGTCTCTGTTAGGAATAGCTTTACAAACGTCTTTGCGTGGTTTTGTTTTGTTTTTCTTGTTTTATTAAAAACAGGAAGTGCAGAAACAGCCACCAAAATGCAATTTTGTCTTCCAAGCCCTGGATTTGGAAACACGGACCGTGCCACTTTTCGGCGCCAGCCTGGTGCTGCAGAGTTCTGCGTACATTCTCTCATTCGATCCTCACAGGAACCCCATGAGGTCAGCTGTTATTTGCCCCGATGTTGACATTAGGAAGCCGTTCCCTCCACCTTTAACACCCCCCACACCACCTCAGAACGAGGTGGTTCCCGGGCAGGCTGTGACATCCAAGCTGGGAGCTGACCCTGGGCAGACATGAGCGGCTTACTCCACCTCTGGGCTTTGATGTCCTCAATTGTGAAAGGGAAATCGGGAAGAAATCACATTTCTTCACTCCACAAGTGTTTCCTGAGGCAGGTGCAGGGTCGGGGACAGCTGAGGTGAACAAGAGAGTCCTGCCCTGGGCATTCACTGTGTGGCGGGGGGGACCCAGCATGGCAAGGGCCTTGGAGCAGCGTCCTGTCCAGGCTCCCCTTCCAGAACGTGCCTCTGGCTAGTCCTCCTCTCTCCATCACTGAGGCTCCCCCCGCAACAGGGTTCAAGCCACCAGTGCCCGGCCCTGCATGCCTCCTGCAGGAGCCTCTGCTACCCCTCTTGTTCTAGTAGGATATTCCTCTGCACAGCAGTCAGGGCGATGGTTTGAACTGTGAATCGGGCCAGGGTACACCTCTGCTCGGAACCCTCCAGAGGCTCCTCGCCGCTCACAGAAGGAAACGCAAACGCCCTATGTTGGTCTTCTCCCCCTTGTCTGTTACACTCCAGCAGCATTCCGAGATGTTTCTGAATTCAAGGCCCCTGTGCCTGGAATATTCTCTGACCAGCTGGCCACATAAGTGGCTTCTTCTCATCCTTCAGGATTCACCTGCTCTGAGACCACCCCCCCCCCCCACCCCTGCCCTGTCGCCCCGCACTCCCCAGGCAGAGTCACTTCCCTACCTGGTTACTTGATCGTTTCTACCTGCTTATTCCCTGAAGCATGTGGTCAAAATCGGAAATGATCTTTAGGTAACTGCTTGCTTATCAGCGGCCCCCTGCTTTATAGAACGTAAGCCCAGGGAGGGCCGTTGTCTGTGTCAAGGGAGGAAGCATTTAGAGGCTAGGATCCGGGGCCAGGAAGTCAGCCTGCCTGGATTCCAGTTTCAGCTTTGTCACTGCGTGGCTGGGCAGCCTGGCCGGCCCCACCTGTAACGCCGGGATGGTGAGAGCACCCGCCCCACAGGACAAAGGCGAGGGCTGGACGCGAGCACATGGAAATACTCAGCAAGTGCTGGTGGCCACGCTCCCCACTCTGCCCTCAGAGCCTGGCCCACAGTAGACAGACATTCAGTAAATATTTGTTGGGTAAATTATAATATGTGATAAGTGGACCAACAGAGATAAGCTTGGAGGAGTGACACCTCATTCTCCCTGGGGTGTGTGTAGGGGTCACGAAAGAGTTCTTGGAGGAGGGGAGGCCTGAGCTGAGACTTTTAAGGCTGGCTAAGAGGTAGGCGAGCTGCCTGGAGGGCAGCGAGGAGAAAGTGCACATCAGGTGGTGAGCACAGCCCAGGCAAAGGCCCAGAGGGAAGAAATAGCTCTGGGCGGGCACTGGGGAGTCTCCATCTGGAGGATCAGGGCTGTGGCCACAGGAGGAACAGAGCAGGGCAAACCGGCTGAAGCCGGGCACTGTTCTGGAGGGCGAGACCCCGCCCCAGGCGTGTGGGGACACAGCGTTCCCAAGAAACCATCTCGGACATCTGTCTGCAGCCCAGGAACAGGCAGCCGCTCAGGGCGCTTTCGGGCCCACGGCTGTGCTCTCTCCATCTCGCTGTGTGTGCCAACGACCTGCTTGTTGGTCATGCCCTTTACTTGGAGAGGCTGCTCTCAGCACCCGCCAACTCTTGCCCCAGAGCCAGGCATTTTTCCCAAAACACCTTCCCGGGACAGGTGTCAGGCATGCGGCCCAAGACTGGGGCAAACCCCCAGAAAAGACCAGAGAGGTAGAGCATCCTGGAAGGAAGCAGTATAACAGCGGTGGTCCTGTGTGGTAGGGGTCAGGAAAGGCTTCCCAGGGCAGGAGCTAGTGAGCCGGTCCCTGAGGCAGTAACAACAAGCTACTGCTGCTTATATATGCCTAGATCTTGGTCTCTAAACACCGTTCTCCAATAAAAGGAAACAGAGCTCCTCAGAGAAACGGCTGCTTCTAGAGCTGGGGCATCTGAGGTGCCAGAAAGTAAGGAAGTAATCAAAACAAAAAAAGAGAGAGAGAGAGAGACAGAGAGATGGGGACATGTTAAAGAGACACAGGAGCCCGACACGAGGAGCTGCTACTGGCCTGAGCTGGAAGAATGTGAGTAAGAAAATAAATAACGTGGGATGCGACTACAACGCACATATACACGAGTCCGTGCCGGTACAAATGACTGAATAACATGAGGGAACAGAGAGGAGGGAACTCTTCCCCACAGAAGATTTCCAAATAGTGTGTACTCCTGTCTCCAGGAGACCAGGAGCTGAGTGCCCCTGTTCCCTCGTCCTCCCTAGAGTGTGGGCTCAACTTCGCGACCCCTTCCCCACGGAAGGGAAGACAGTTACCTCATGATGGAGAAGGCTGTCCCCCCCCCCGCCCCTTAACCCATTGAGGGGGGTCAGCATCCCAGGTGGTGCCCCTCCTGGCGTACCATGTGATGAGGAGGACACCTCACCTTTGTGCCATTCTTCCCCCAAACCCATCTTATCTGTATAAACCCAAATCAAAGACTTTCCATCACACACCATATATGTCCTTCCATCCCCACGATAGCCCTACGAGGCCATGTCATGATCCCCATTTTCCAGATGAGAATACTGAGGCCCAGAGAGGCCAGGAAGCGTGCCCAACAGCCCACAGATCTGGCATTCAAATCCAGGCAGTTTGGCATCAGGGTCCAAATGTGGCTCCTTTTCTCCTAATTACAGCTGCTGCTTCTTGAGCCTTCGCCACGGTCGAGGGACAGAGGATGGAGTCAGAAGGACAGTGCGGAAGCAGGGACATAGTGTTTGGAGCCCGGCGCTGGGAGGGCCAAGGGAGGCCCGTTTCCTCTGGCACCGAGTCTGAGGCTGACTCAGGAAGGCAGGTGACAAAGAACAGGCTCTGGAGACATGGGTGGGGAGGGAAGATGATGCTCCCGTTTTCTGGTGGCCCAGACTGCCAGCACAGCCGCTCACCAGCTGTGTGACCTCAGAGACGTTGCTTAACCTCTCTGGGCCTTGGCTGCCTCCTACAGAATGGGGTGACATAAGAGTACCTTTCTCATGGGCTTGTGGCCAGGGTTAAATGAATTTTATACCCGTGAAGTGCTAAGAATAGCATCTGACACATCAGCAGGGCTCAATACATGTTAGCATTATTATTGAATAATGAGTTCCTTATCAAATGTGGGTTTAATGACAATAATATTGTCAATAATTATTTATTGAGGCCGGCACTCTGTTGGCATATCACCTCACTGAATACTCACAATAACACCGCTGGGTAGGCATGTTATTACCCCATTTCACAGAAGAGGAAAACCGAGGCCCATTGAGGTTAAACTTGGTTAGGGTCACACGGCTTGTAAGACAGGGCAAGGATGTGAACCCAGGGGGTCTAACTGCACAGCCCAGCCTTGACCCCCTCGCTAGAGTTACTCCCCAGCCACAGCCACACCACAGAAGTGGCGTGGCCGACACTGGGTGTTTTGCCGGCCCCAACGCCATCCGTTCCCCCTTCTCTGCTAACAGCTCCTCTGCTTCTCTTTGGGGGACCACCCACTCCTCACTCTCAGTCCCCGTGACCCAATGGGACCTGCTCTGTGGACGGAGCCAGCGCGGGAGCCGCCCACAATCTTCCGACACCGGGACCCCGCTCAGAGCCCAGGGACCTGACAGTAGATCCCCCAGACCCTAACGGACCCCCCCCTTTCCCACCTAACCCTCCGCCCCCCAGCCAGGGCTCTTCTTGCTGAGCAGTCGGGCTCCAGGCTTGAAGGCAGAGCCTGACCTCTCTCTCTCCAGCCGAGGGGGCAAAGGTGACTGCACGGATGTGACATGCCGGTGCACGGGCTGCCTGCAGCCTTCTGGGAGGGCCGTCAGGAGCGTCTGGCCAGGGGTGCGCTGAGCAAAGGCCACCGGCTGAGAGCGAGGGGTTGGCAGCCAGCCATGCCACCACCGACGGCAGGACGTGTCCCGTCAGCAGGGGCACCGGCCTGTGCTTTTCCGCCTGCGGCCACACCTTTCCAGCTCATGCCACGCGGGCGGCTAGGTGTGCAGCTCCTCTGGCGGGGGGCCCTGGATTTCCTGACACGGCCTGCAGAGTGCCCGCCCCTGTGCATTTTGGGGGGACACAGGGTCCCCGCGGCGTTCAGCAGACTCTCAGTAGAGCTTCCTGAAGGCTCATGGGTGGAGGGAGCACGGGGCTCAGGCACCGTCCCCGGGAGGGTGATATGGGAAGCCTGTCACTCCTGAGAGGTGGCAGGACTCCGTGGACTTCAGGGGCCTGAAGTGCGAGACTGTGGAGTCCCGGACCAACAGGACGCCAGCACGCGTGGGCCCTGCACACCCTGAGGCTCTGCCGCCGTGGCTCTGCGTGGGCCCAGTCTCCAGGCCGCGGTCCTGCCCCAGAGATGCTAGGGCCCAGGGCTGGGGGTGTCAGCGGCAGGGCGGGTGAAGGAGGCGCAGGCTTTTGGGGTGAACGTTATTCTCAGTCTGCCATCCTGTCCGCCTTGGGGGTTGTCAGGGATGCCAGCCAACACTCCCAGGGCCCCGTTCTAAGTGCCCAGCTGAGCCAACTCAGCCCTGCTCCCGGGAAGCCGAGGCGGCGGCTGGACCGTCCGGGATGAGAACCAGGGCAGGAGGTGCCAGGGTGCCCGCCCAGACCCCTCAGCCACTGGCTGTTGGGGGCGAAAAGCTCCCAGCCGCCCCTCCTGCAGCCCCCTTGCCTGGGAAGTGAGGGGACCCCAGCCTATCCCCCACGAGGTACTGATGCAGCCGGGACAAAGGCCAGCCCCTCAGGAGGACAATCCTGTGGTGTGGCTGATGCTCTGGATGCCGGGACGTTGCCTGAGAGACCGCAGCTTCACTGAGCTCTTTCCTTCCTCATCCTGCTTTCCTTTACAGACGTGTCCTAAAGCGAGTCCCTCCATGTGTCATGGGCCCTCCACACATCCCGGTCTCAGGCTCTGCCCCAGAAGATCCGACCGGAGACACTGAGGCACAGGACATGGTGCTGGTCCGTGGCCACGTGGGGCTGTGATGTGGGGGCCGGGGGGGCGGGGCAGGCCGGCCGGGCCCAGGGTGGCTCTCACCTGTAGTTGCAGGGCTCGGGCCCGAACAGGCAGGCCAGGATCAGCCGCTCGGCGGGGTAGCCCATCTCCACCAGCTCATGCCTGGGCACGTGCGAGAAGATGTTGGTGGCCTGCAGGAGGTACCACTCCGTCACGGCCTGGGTGGCGCTGGTGAAGTTCCGGAAAGTGCACACGGTCCCGTTGAGGCTGCACTGTGGAGGCCGAGTGGGATTCTGGTGGGCACAGGGCGTGCTGGCCAGCCTTCCCCCGGGCCACTGTCCCCAAGGGCCAGCTGCCCTTCCCTTGGTGGCACCGCGGTGCCGGGGCTAGCAGCTGCTGAGCGGTGGAGAATGTGTTCACACTCATGCTCGCAGGGCTTGGGGGCTGTCCCCTCACACGTGGCTGCTGGGTCACCAGGTCTCACACACGGTTGCCGGCCACCCCTATACTAGCCTTATGCATGAGCAAATACACACACACACACGCACGCACACACGCACACGCCCACTTCCTGACATCCACAGCCACACGATGTCATGGTCACAACCACACACACCCATATCCAAACTTTCTCCCGGCCCACATACCTAGCTGATCCACATTCACGCTCCTGTGGCCACACAGACAGACGCACCCGGACCCTCCAACTCCCCTGACTCCTTTCCGGGCCTCCTTGAAGACTTCCAGAGGCAGCTCCCTGGAGGCTGTGTGGACCATGAAGGACTGGAGGCTCAAGGCTCCCTCCCCCTCGCTGGGGGAAGGAGCTGGGCCTTGTCAGCCTGAGCCCCGTGAGGGGAGCAGGCCCCCCACCCCACAGCCGGCCCACCATGACACCCAGGTCACCATGCAGACACAGCACGGCCACAGCCCCAGGCCTCTGGCCTCAGCCACTCTGCCTCTATCGGTGCTCACAGCGGGCCTTCCTTCTGGAACCCAGGAGGCCGGGAGGAGCTTCTCCGCATTGTGAGACTGCCTTCCCCAGGGCCGGCTGGGGGCACTGTCCTCAGGCCCATTCCTGGAGGTCTCCTCGTCTCTCCTTAGGGAGATGACGGTAATACTTAACACTCACTCTGTCCCAGGCTCTGTTCTGAGGCCTATTACCGCATTCGATTTGTACAGCAACCCTACTCCATCATCGGGAGGAAACTGAGGCCAGCAGACCCTCCTCCCTACCACACGTGCACACCCGCGCGCGTGCGCACACACACACACAGCATGCACCGTGCGCGCACACACAGGGCCTGACCCCGAGATCCGGGGCAGTCCCCCGGAACGAGCCTGCTTCACAGATGAGGAGCCGGACACGGGAGGCCGGGTAACGCTAAAAACCAGTAGGGCACTGGGCGCCTGGGTGGCTCAGATGGTTGGGCGTCTGCCTGCGGCTCGGGTCATGATCCCAATGTCCTGGGATCGAGTCCCGCATTGGGCTCCCTGCTCCTTGGGAGCCTGCTTCTCCCTCTGTTTCTCTCTCTCTCTCTCTCTCTCTCGCTCTCCCCCTCTCTCTCTCCCTCTGTCTCTCATGAATAAATAAATAAAATCTTTAAAAAAAAAAAAAACAGTAGGGCACTGGGTCAGAGAGGGCACGGGGTCTCTGGAGCCTCGGACTGTTCGCTGGTTTTTCGGAGATGTAGGGGGAGCCCCGACCCGGTGGAGGCCCCCAAACCAAGGGCCAAGGGTGACCATCCAAATCACCAGGGAGGCTGTTAACAATACAGATTCCTAGGCCCGTTCAGCTTCCCCAGGAGTGGGGGCCATCGCAGCATCCCGGCGCAGGGCAGTTATGCTCTGGCATTGGACGGCACTGCGAGGCTGTGGGTTTTCACCTTCCCGGTATTTATGCTCTTGTCTTTTGAGAGCAAGACTTAACTCCTTCTTTAGAAAAGCACCCTTTCCCCCCTCACTGGGTCCACATGGTAGAGGCTGACGCCAACCCAGCCCCAGGGCGCATGACCCAGGACTGGCCAATCATGAGAGCCCATTCTCTGGCGCACGGTGATTGGCTGAGGGGTGAGCATGTGACCCGATGGGTCTGTCCCAGGACTTTTGCTGAGGCTATTGGGGAACAGGAGTTCTGTTTCTCGGGGGAGAGTGCTGAGCTGTTGGGGTGTATGTCTGGCATTGCCAAGACCCTCTGCTTGGAGGGAGCCTGCCAGAGAGTGAGGTTAACTGGGAGAAAAGCTGAACAAAAATGGAGAGAGTTAGGTCCTGATGGCAGCATTTGAATGCTTGGATCCAGCCAGACCTGAACCCAGGCTACCCCTGGACTTCTCAGTATGTGAGCCAGTGAATTCCTTGTTTTGCCTAAGCTAGTTTGACCTGGGTCACTGCCCAGTCAATAGTGTCTTGACTAACATACCAGCTCTATTAAAAAAAAAAAAAAAAAAAAGCTTTGTAAACATACAAAATGGGCGCTGGCTTCCAGCCTGCCTTTCCCCCAGCAAGACCCAGATTATTAAAGGAAAGAAAATCCCATCAGCCTCCCTGGGAAGGGTCCATTGCTTGATGTGTGCCCGGGGCCCACTTACTAGTCTCATGGCCACTTTGCACCCCTGGGCAGTGCAGGTCCTTTCTGGCGCTGGGCTGCTGCTTGCTGAGCCATGGTGGACATCCCCAAAGAGGTCAAGGACCACCGGGCGGTGGGGGTCCCGCTCGTCGATCAGAACCAGCGGCGTGTCGTTCCAGATGGTGACGTTCAGAGTCCTAGTGGCGTTGGTGTAGCTCTGCTCGGGAGCCAGGATCCTCTCCAGGACCGCTTCCATGAGCTCATCCAGATCCTTCAGCAAATGCTTGACTTTGGAATACCTGGGTGGGGAGGGGGCCAGTCAGGGGGACAAGGGCAGCTGAGGGGCAGAGGGCAACCGCAGTCTGGGGTCCCCCCTACCCCCAGCGTGGCTGCCAGCCACCACATGTGAGGAGAGTGCTCTGCCCAAGCCCCCTGCCTCTCTACCCACCCGCCCAGACGTCCATGACTCCTTCTACCCACCCGCTCACTTCTTCATCCACCGAGTATGCAGTGAGTGCCTACTAGGCGCCAGGCACTGTGCAAAGCACAGAGGATATGATAGCGAACAAGACACATGGGGTCCCTTTCCTTATGAAGTTCACATTCTAAGAAGGAAGACTCCTAACCGCTCCTGGTTCCAATTCTCCAGCAGCGACTCTGGGAAAAGGATCCAGTTTCAGGAGGGAGAAGGAGGGTGGGAGTGTGGGGCTGGGCTCCAGTAGCTTCTCGCAGCCTCCGGAGGCTCCAGTATTGGAAATGGTGACCGGTCAGTCTGGCAGAAATGTGTCCGTACCAGGGAGTGAGTGTTAACGCCTGGCCACAGACCCACGTCCTGGTACAAAGGGGTACAGCGGCCCGAGCTGAGATCGGCTTCAGCTGCGGACACCTCCTGTCCCCGGACCATGAAACCAGCCACCTGTGTGTACACAGCAGGAGGAGGACTCGGGAAGGGTGGTGGGCTGTGGGGATGGGGGCTGCTAGGTTAGCCCGGATGTCCACACTGCTGTCGAGCAAGGTGGGTCATGGCCTGAGGTCTGGGTTCGAGTCCAGACATGCCAGTTGGTATCCGTGTGACCCTGGGGCAAGTTAGCATCTCTGAGGCTCTGTTCTCTCGTCTACAAGATGCAGGGATTATTTACCCTGGATGCCTGTTGGTGAGGTGAGGCCTCTGCAGCACCGGGAACCGTGCCTGGCCAGGGCGGTGTTGTACTATGATGACTATGGGTTCTCTGAAGCAGCCCCAAGCAGGCAGGAGCCCGATTACTAGAAAGAAGGGACTTTCTGATCACTAGACATGTAATCAGGAAGTAAGAATTCCCGGGCGCCTGGGTGGCTCCTGGTTGGTTAAGCGACTGCCTTCGGCTCAGGTCGTGATCCTGGAGTCCCGGGATCGAGTCCCACATCGGGCTCCCTGCTCAGCAGGGAGTCTGCTTCTCCCTCTGACCCTCTTCCCTCTCGTGCTCTCTATCTCTCACTCTCTCTCTCAAATAAATAAAATCTTTAAAAAAAAAAAGTGCTAGTACTTAAAAAAAAAAAAAAAGGAAGTAAGAATTCCCTTCCAGGACCTTCTTTTGGACAAGAATGTTCCCTGTGACTCAGCCACGCTGGCCCTTCTGCAGTTCCTTGAAAGCACCAGACTCTGTCTCGTCCCAGGGCCGCGGCAGCCGTCCTCCACTTGGGCCACTCTGCGTCCCACCTAGCTCGCTTCTGCTCATGCCTTGGGGTGTTCTCCTCTGACTGACCCCCTGCCCCTCCCCAACCCTGGCTAGGTCGGGTCCCCCGGCATGTCCCTTCAGCACGTGGTTGCACGGTGGCAACTCTGGAGTCAGATCAGGCCTGGGTTCCGATGCCACAGTTGTTCTCTGTGTGTCTCTGGGCAAGTTCCCTAACCTCTCTGAATCTCCATTTCCCGACCCATAAATTGGGGCTACTACAGTCGTGCCCACCCTTAGGGTGGTTGTGTGGATGAGAATTACATCAATCAACCAAAAAGCACTGGACACACTGCCTGGCAATTCATCAGCCCTTGATGCACTATTGC